TTGTGTGCAAAGTCCTCTTGGTTCTGCTCACTTCACTCAGCATCAGACTATCCAAGTCTTTCTAGGTTTTTGTGAAGTCAGTGTGTTCATCATTTCTTACAGCACAATAGTATTCCATTACATTCATATACCACAACTTGTTCAGCCATTCCCCAATTGATGGGCATCCTCTCAATTTCCAATTCTTTGCCACCACAAAAAGAGCTGCTATGAATATTTTTGTACATGTGGGTCCTTTTCCCAGCAGTAGCTAGATTTTAAGAATGCCAGGAGTGGCTAGATTTTAAGAATCCAAGCAGTGGCTAGATTATAAGAATCTAAGCCGTGGCTAGATTTTAGGAATCTGAGTAGTGGCAATGATGGGGTTTGGATCTGGGCCCCAGAAAGGAAAAACCTTAGACTTTCCCACATGGCCAAGTCACTGGAGTTCTTCCTGAGGCTATAATCCCATCAACTGGTCTTTCACTGTGACTACACCCAATCTCTCCTACCTCCCTATGGCCCCAGGCCATTTCCCACACTTAATCCTAGGTAGGCTCCATTGTCCAGGTCCCAGGAGTTCTGTTCACCCAGCTTACTGGCCACTCCCATTCAGATCCACTCTTGGATCCCTCCCACAGTCCATCTTGTCTCCATTAAGATGTTTAGATTCTTAAAATCTAGCCTCTCATGCCCAAAAGGCTGAGACTTTCTCATGCCTGCTTGTCCCCACAGACATTACTAATGTTCAGATTCCCTAAAAGTCTGGCCTATATGATTTATCTCTAATAAACCTTTCCTCTGGCTGAAAGAAGATTTGGATTGAATTCATTTAGGCAGGGCTCGTGTCGCCATCTTGGGGTTCCAGCACCCCCAAACCTCTAGACCTCTTCCCTGACCGGGAAAAACTGCCAAATCTCAAACTCCTCTCCAGCCACAACTGGAAGATACGTAAGCCTCCCCCTCCCCAATTTCTTTGTTGTCTTGTGGCTGGGAGGGGGATTTCTAAGCACCTAGCTAGGCTTGGCTTGGAAGTGTTTTTAGGCCTGACCTCTCAGGTCCTGCTAGGGCAGAAAGCTACCAGGCTGTCTCGAACTCCGCCTGATGCTCTCAGGCTTTCCCGTCCAGAGCTTATGTTTGAGCACTTGGATCTGGGCATACACTTCCTTAGCATAGAGGATGGACTCCCTATCAGGAAGCATAGGTCCAATCCTCTCAGTTCTCTCGAGACTAGGGAATTGAGAAACTGTTGGATATTTTTTTCTTTTTTTTCTTTTTTTAACTTTCCCCTAAGCCCACAATGGGTCAATCCTCTTCAATTCCCAAGAATTCACCTTTGGTCTGTTTTTTACAAAATTGGAAAAATTTTAGCTTCTGTAAAGGATTTTAAAAGAAAAAGCTGATGTATTTTTGCAACACTGTTTGGGTTCAGTATCACCTGGAAAATTATGCGGCATGGCCCCTTTTTGGGACATTACGGCTAAAGACCCTCTCAGAGTTAGAAAAATATTGTCACAGAGTAAGAAAATGGGTGGAGGTTTCTTACTTAATGGCTTTTGTTGAGCTTTCTAGAGACCCCATTCTCAGAAAGGATTGTAAGATGCTTGTAGCTAGAGCAACCCCCCTAATGGGGAGTGGGGATCAAATAGACTTTTTGGATGATCCTCTTCTTATGCCTCCTAGGGTTATGACACCCCCCTCTTCCCAACCTCCATCAGCACCACCTCCCCAGAACCTATTTCCACCCCATTCTCCTCTGGCCTCTCCGGCTGTTCCCCATTCTCCCCAGACCCCTCCTTCTGCTCCCCATCCTTCCCCAACCCTTCCTTCTGCTTCCCATTCTCCCTTGACCCTTCCTACATTTCCCTATTCTCCCCTGCCCCCCCCTTGTTTCCCATGCCACCTCCTCCTTGCCCATCTCTTCTTTCCCTTGGTTTTCCTTCCCTTTTCCTCTGGCTCCTCCATTTCCTCCCCAGGCCCCTGCTCTAGAGGCTACTTCTACTCAGGCTTTGGCAAGGGCCTTGCCCTGGCCTCTACTTCCGAAGAGACCCCAGCTCAAGCTCCGGACAAGGTTCTCAACTTGGTACCTCCTCCCCAGAACTCTACTTCCAATGGGACCCCAACTCGGGCTCCAGACAAAGGTCTTGCCTTGGCGTCTTCTCCCCTGATCCCTCCCCATCTGTCAGGTAATCTTTCCCCTTGCCAGTCAGATTCCTCGGCCTTGCCAGTTCAGCCAGCACTTTCCAGTCCCTCACTCACGAGAAGTGTGACTTCCTATCTCCCTCCCCCTGGAAAGCTCCTGCTGCTGCAGGGCCTTCAGGACTCTTTCCTTTAAGGGAAGTACCTGCCTCTCCTGACAGGACACTTAGGGTGCATGTTCCATTCTCCATTTCAGACCTCAACCAGATTAAGGAAAGACTGGGTCGACACTCTGAGGATCCTGCTAAATTTACTGAGGGCTTCGGGGATGTGTCCCTACAATTTGAACTTTCTTGGGGTGATTTGCATGTCTTCTCCACCTGTTGTACCCCTGAGGAGAGGAAGAGAATCTGGGAACAAGCTCAAAAATTTGGGGATACTTTTACTAGCAATGATCCCACAAGATACCCCCCAGGAACAGCTGGGGTTCCCTCTAGTGACCCAGCATGGGATTATCAGAAGAGTGAGAATAGCGGAAAGTGAGACCACATGATAATTTGCCTGTTAGAAGGCCTGAAAATGGTCTTTCAAAAGCATGTAAATTTTTAGAAAATTGGAGAAATTACTCAGGGAGAAAAGGAAAACCCTGCCCTTTTCCAAGATAGGTTAGTAGAAGGCATTAAAAAGTATATGAATTTAGATCCTGATTCTACAGAAGGGGCAGCAATCCTTGGCATGCATTTCATTAACCAATCTGCCCCAGATATTAGGAGAAAACTACAGAAATTGGCAATGGGCCCCAAACAACTCAGGCCCAGTTATTGGAGATTGCCTTTGGAGTCTTTAACAACAGAGACCTAGTTGCAGCAGAGGAGAAAGAATGCAGGCAGAGGACTAGAGACAAAGAACATGCTTGACTCCTGGCTGCTACTATGGTGAGGAAAAGACCCAAGGGTGTTCCTGGCAACTTAGGCAATGGGAAAACCTGCTTTTGATGCCACCAGGAGGGTCACTGGTCCAAGTAGTGCCCCTCCAGGGCAACCCCCCTCGAGGAAGCCCCCAAGACGGACACCTCCAGGACCTTGCCCAAGATGTGACCAGGAGGGACATTGGAAGAAGGATTGTCTCCGAGGTAGGAGAAGTGGTAGAGCAGCCCCCCAGTACCCTGTCCTCCAGTCTTCTCAAGACTGGGGAAGACATGGAAGCCTGGGTCCTAGCAACATTCCCACTTTCTCCATCTCTTTCGCCAAGCCCTGGGCAGAAATCAAGGCTGAAGGTAAGGTTACCCACTTTAACATGGCTATATTCTTTGCTTCAACCAATTACTCTGGCCCTATTCACCCCTTGACTCATCCTGTCATGGACATTCAAGGGATAACTAAGGGATGTCTCCAGACATACTCCTTCCCTTGCCTATTTGAGAATCTGTTGTTTAAACACTCCTCCCATATGTTCTCCTCTTGCCCTGCCCCCTCATTGAGAAGGAATCTGATGGTGAAGTTGAGGAGCCAATTTTCTCTAGTTAAGCCTCCCATGTCCCTTTTCCCTCTGTGTTCCAGACCTCCCCATGTTCCCCTGGAAGTGTGGGAAACAATTTTGGGTGAGGTACTTTTGCCACCCCAGCCATTGTTCACCTCTGAGACCCTAAAGTATTTTCCCATGGCTGTATTTTTTAGCCCCACCCAGGAGGCTTCTTTGTCCACTACCTCAGGAGTACTTAATTTCTTGGGAACTCAAGGCTATAGGGTCTCTTTGAACAAAGTCCAGATAGCATGCCAGTCTCTAAAGTTTCTGGGCCATGAACTCCCAGTCCCAGCCACCAAGAAACAACTTCGAACTTTTCTAGGCATGGCTAGATTTTGTAGAGTCTGGTTACCTAATAATAGTTTTATTGTTAAGCCCTTTTATGATGCTTCTCTGGGACCTCACTCACTCCCTCTACAGTGGGGCCCCCACCATGCTAAAATTTTTGTTATTTTAAAATCTAAATTGACCTCCATGCCCCTAACCTAGTCCTTGGGACCTGATCCTAGCTAGGTTGCTCATTTTTCAAAACCATTAGACTTTGTAGCTGCTGGATGGCCTGCAAGCCTCCGGGTAGTAGCTGCTACAGTCATTCTAATTCAGGAAGGCTCTGAATTTACACTTGGCCTCTGAAAGTGGGAAGATAACTTCCTAGTTAAACTGGGAAACTCATTAGACCACTCATACCCACATAGCAGCTCTCATCTCCACAAAGCCCCCTTCCCCAATATGACTTTCTCAGAAGTTTATGCCACCCCATTTATGCTTGCCACTTCTCTATGAGCCACTCTCTCTATATCAACACCTTGCTTCTCCAAAGGGGATCATTCCCTTACTTGGGAGACAAGCTTCCAGGCCACTAGACAAGTTAACACTCCTGTAGAGGGAGGGATTGTAAGAGTTTCTACTGATCTTTTGACCTGTACTACCTGTGTTACCACTAGTAACAAGAATTTTGGGGAAGAGGTAAAACTAAGTGCCAACACATGGCAAGACCCCAGAACTACTGCCTTGGTCACCCAATGTTTGACACTCTTCAAGGACTTTGGGGTGTGCACCCTTGGATTTTTAGCTCACAGTCTCTAACTTAAGGGCAAAACCTCTAAAAATATATGTGTGTGTGTGTGTGTGTGTGTGTATATACATATGTATGTATATATGTATATGTATATATATATGTAAATAACCTTTCTCCCCAATCTCTTAAACTTAAATAAATATCATGGTTACTGGCAATATTATTTGTTAACAACGTAACAAACAATAAAACAAAGACATAAATATTTAAAATATATCATCCATGAGAAAGATCACAGTCAAAATCACCTTTAACCATTAGCCATCATTACAATGCTAACCTGAGCTCTGGAAACACAGTCCTATCCTTCAGTTAGTTATCTTAGGATATGAGTTAAAGACTTCTCAAGAACTTTCCATTTCTTTTTAAGATAGAGATTGTATCTTGTTCTCTTAGTCCTTTTCTTTGGTCCTCAATTCAACAATCACAGTAGTCTTTCCAGAATGTTTCCAGAATGTCAGTTAACTGTCTGCTCAGCCTCTTCATACAATGAGAATTGAACTGTTAATCCAAGATTCTATTTTCTGTGGGACAGGCTTTTGAAATGGATGTTACACATTTTTTAAATGCAGCTATTGTCTCCTTTAATTAAGTGAAGGGAAACTCCATGAAGGGAAACTCTGCCTCAATCAGAGAATGACCTAGTGGTGGTTTGGGATTAGGTTTGTAGCTCTCTGAAGATGACTGAGGGAAGAAATTGAAGGGTAGTGGTTTGGTGGTTCCCCAGTGGAAAATATACCCAGCTTCCTAGGGCTGTCTATCAGAAACCATATTAGGCGGAGCCAAGATGGCAGAGTGAAAGCAGTGACTTGCTTGAGCTCTCCTCCAAAACCCTCCAAACACTCATAAAAAATGGCTCTAAACAAATTCTGAAGCAGCAGAACCCACAAAAAGACAGAGTGAAACAAATTTCCAGCCCAAGACAACCTGGATGATTGATCAGAAAGGTGTATTGGCTGGGCTGGGAGCGTAGCGCAGCGTGGGTGCGCAGGCTGCAGCAAACCTGGAGCAGGTCTCAGAGGACTGAATCTCTGGCAGCTGTGGAGGTTTCCAGACTCCTCAATCCACCAATGCCAAAGACAACTTAGAAGGTCAGTGGGAAAAGTCTGTTTCTATCGGTGCTGAGACAGGAAGGTGGGGTTTCAGCTCCATTCCCCAAGAGCGTGGCCTGGGGGGGGGGCAGCTGCTTCCCGAGCTTCCGGCCCACAGACTGAGGGGGAATCCAGTGGCTGATCAGAGAGGGATTGCAGGGATCTCTTTGCCAGTGCTGAGGCAGGAATCTCTTGCTTTGCCCGTGTTTGGATCTGGGCCACAGTTCTGGGCGGCGGTGCTGGGGTGAGAGCGCTGTCTTGGTGGAGCTTGTAGTGCCTGTGGAGAGAAACCCCTCCTCACAGTTACAGGACAGAAAGGAGTACCTGTAGTCACAGGCCAGGAAAGCAGTAAACACCTTGCCCCTTATCATACCACCTTGGAAGAACTGAAAATTTACAGGTCCCTACAAGTATCTCTGAAAACAGCTATACAAACCCCTGAAGCTTGGGACAATACATTCTCCACATTGGAAGCAGACTCTTACCTTAACAAAGAGTTTAAAACTCAAGTAATTGGCTGGGATCATGAGCAAGCAGCGCAAAAAGAGTCAGACCATAGAATCTTACTTTGGTGAAAAAGAAGATCAAAATATACAACCAGAAGAAGACAACAAAGTCAAAGCTCCTACATCCAAAGCCTCCAAGAAAAATATGAATCAGTCCCAGGCCTTGGAAGAGATCAAAAGGGATTCTGAGAAGCAAGTAAGGGAAGTAGAGGAAAAACTGAGAGTGATGCAAGAAAATCACGAAAAACAAGTCAACAGCCTGCTAAAGGAGACCCAAAAAAATACTGAAGAAAATAACACCTTAAAAAATAGCCTAACCCAAATGGCAAAAGAGGTCCAAAAAGCCAATGAGGAGAAGAATGCCCTAAAAAGCAAAATTGGCCAAATGGAAAAGGAAGTCCAAAAGCTTACTGAAGAAAATACTTTCTTAAAAATTAGAGCAATTGGAAGATAGTGACTTTATGAGAAATCACGACACAGTAGAACAAATCCAAAAGAATGAAAAATTAGAAAACAATGTGAAATATCTCATTGGAAAAACAACTGACCTGGAAAATAGATCCAGGAGAGAGAATTTAAAAATTATTGGACTATCTGAAAGCCATGATCAAAAAAAGAGCCTAGACATCATCTTTCAAGAAATTATCAGGAAAACTGCCCTGATATATTAGAACCAGAGGGCAAAATAGAAATTGAAAGAATCCACAGATCTCCTCCTGAAAGAGATCCCCAAAGGAAAACTCCTAGGAATATTATAGCCAAATTCCAGAGTTCCCAGGTCAAGGAGAAAATATTACAAGCTGCCAGAAGGAAACAATTCAAGTACTGTGGAAACATAATCAGGATAACACAAGATTTAGCAGCTTCTACATTAAAGGACTGCAGGGCAAAGGAGACAGGATTACAATCAAGAATCACCTACCCAGCAAAACTGAGTATAATCCTTCAGGAGAAAAAATGGTCATTCAGTGAAATAGAGGACTTTCAAGTATACTTGATGAAAAGACCAGAGCTGAATAGAAAATTTGACTTTCAAATACAGGACTCAAGTGGAACATGAAGAGGTAAACAGGAAAGAGAAATCATAAGAGACTTATTAAGATTGAACTGTTTACATTCCTGCATGGAAAGATGATATTTATAACTCATGAGACTTTTATCAGTATTAGGGTAGTTGGAGGAAAAAAATTATATGTATGTATATGTAGATAGATAGATAGAGGGCACAGTGTGAGTTGAAGATTAAGGGGTCATATCTGGAGAATAAAATTAAGGGATGAGAGAGGATTATACTCAGAGAAGAAGAAAGGGAGAGGTAGAATGGGGTAAATTATCTTACAAAAAAACCAAAAGAAAAGTCTCTTAACAGTGGAGGGGAAATGGGGGAAGGTGAGAGGGAATGAGTAAATCTTATTCTCATAGGATTTGGCTTAAGGAGGGAATAACAAACACATTCAATTGGGTATGGAAATCTGTCTTACCCTACAGGAAAATAGGGGGAGAAGGGGACAAGAGAGCAGGGGGACGATAGAGAGGAGGGCAGACTGGGAAAGAGGGTAATCTGAGGAGGGACAGGGTCAAAAGAAATAATAGAATAAATGGGAGGGCAGGATAGGATTAAAGGAAGTAGAGTTAGTTTTTCACAACATGACTACTAAGGAAGTATTTTGCATAACTGCACATGTACAACCTATATTGAGTTGCTTGCCTTTTCAGTGAGGGTGGGTGGGGAGGGAGGAAGAGAGAAAATTTGAAACCTAAAGTTTTAAAAACATATGTTTAAAAAAAATGTTTTCACATGCTACTGGGAAATAAGAAATACAGGAAATGGGGTAGAAGTCTATCCTGCCTACAGGAAAATAGAAGGGAAGGGGATAAGAGAAGGGAGGAAAGAGAAGAAAGGACAGACTAGGGGAAGGGATATTCAGAATGCATGCCACCTTGGGGTGGGGGGAGGGGAGAGATGGGGTGAAAATTTGGAACTCAAAAACTTGTGGAAGTGAATGTTGAAAACTAAAAATAAATAAATTTATATATTTGAAAGCTATTTAATATGTCCTGATTGCTGTCATTAGGTGGCTGAGCAGTGAGAGCTCCATGTTCACCCTTATCCCCACCATTGCTTGAGTAAAAAGATGTAAGACTGGACTATATGTAGATTCTGTATTAATAGTGATGGAGTATGGGATCTGGATCCCCAAAAAGAAAAGACCCTCAGTCCTAGAACTTTCCCACAAATTTCGGGAACCCCGTCCCTGAACCCAGATCCCTGGCATTTACCTGAGGCATCTGCTCATCCCAGTATAATCCTTTCAACTATCCTTTCATTGTGGCCCTGACCCAGCCCAGCCCCTTTATTCTCTGTTACCTCTGGACCACCCCAGGCTACTTGCCACTCTTAGATCATATCCAGATCTTCCCACATTCTTTCTGTATAAAAGTATTGATCTTGCCCCCATTAAATCATGCAGATTCACTAGGAATCTCGCCACACCAACTGGTGTCATAATAAACTCTCTACTTGAACTGAAAGAAGGCTTGAGCGATTGAATTCACTCAAGGCAGACCCACACCCTATACCTTTGCATTTTGGGGTTCCCAGCACCTCTAGACCACAACAATAGCACATTTGAACCTCATATAGGGTGCATACAAATGTAAATGGCAGATGGGGGAAGACATCCAGCAGCCTTTCTATCCCTTATCCAAAGTATTCTCTGGTCAAATGATTTGAGATTGCTTAGTTATAATTGGATTTCCCCCAACCTCTCTATCCCCTCACCTTAAAAGCTGATCTCCATGGAAGCATTGTGGAAAGGGTATGGAACACAAATCCTACTGTTGTGATGTTGAACAAGCTGCTTCTCTCGGCCTCAGTTTCCTCATCTATAAAATGGGGGATTGGACTAAATGATGTCTTCCCACTCTTAAATCCTATAATTCCGCAATCAGTTGTTCTAGCTGTGAGAATGTATTCTTTTTTTCCCCCCTCATCCATGGATTCAGATTTGAAAAAAAATGAACCACTCTGTTATTGAAAGTTTTGCTGACTCAGTGACCTTTTGTTCCTAAACCTACTTGTCAATCAATATTGGAGGGAGGTATCACCCAGACCCCTGATATTTGTCTCATAGTCAAGTCACCCCACTACCTACCTGTACCTGGAAATTGTCAAGTACTTGCTACCTTGGTGAGGAATCTTTTTTGCTGACATGGACCTACCTGGATTGTCTTTATCTCATGCTGGAAGTTACCAATAAAAACAAGATTGACCTTGATTAATCTGATCTCCACTGATCAGCCTGTCCATATGTTGCTACCTTGACTTACTATAATAAATTCCTTTCAATTCTTTGTCCTGAGTTTTGCCTCATTGATCAGAGAGAAAAGCCCTAATGAAAAAATTTTCCTTTCAACAATATCCCTAGACAACCACAGTTGTGAAGCTTGCACCCAGACCGTTGAGGCCATCTAGCCCTCCACTAAAGAAAGCACTTATGGCATAGAGGTGACTTTAAGTCCTCAAAGGCTATGCTAATTGAGGGATTGAAAGTTCTACCAAACTGGAATGGCTTGTTGATAGATTGTGCCTGACATGCAAAGAATGGCTTGAGAATAATTACTTACCTACCTTTGTACAAGAATAGCAGGGTTAATGCCAACAAAAAAATAACCCCCCCCCCAACTACCACTCCCACCATCATCAGGCTAGGATGTGTCTGGTGGTAATGAGGAAAAGTCAGATTTCATGTCTAGTGAAAGAGGCCCCAGTCATCCCATTGCATTTAAATTCCATGCCACTGGCAGTGGAGAGACTAGATGACCCCATTAGCCTCCTTCAATGCAGCCTGATCAGAAGAGACTTCTGGGAAACTGGGATCTATGCAAATGATTTAGAGACTGACAGTCTCTCTTCTGTGCTAGTTTCTGTGAAAAATGACTTTACTAACCACCTTGATTTGCTTGGTCTTCCTTACTATCCAGAGGAGTCTGGACTGACCTGGGA